GTCCGCCTTAACCCGACTCCAATCCACCTGAACCCGACTCCAGTCCGCCTAAGACCGACTCTGGTCCGCCTCAGCCCGACTCCGGTCCGCTCCAGCCCGACTCCGGTCCGCCTTAACCTGACTCCGGTCCGCTTCAGCCCAACTCCAGTCCGCTTCAGCCCGACTGCGGTCCGCCTTAACCCGACTCCAATCCACCTGAACCCGACTCCGGTCCGCCTCAGCCCGACTCCAGTCTGCTTCAGCCCAACTCCGGTCCGATTCAGCCCGACTCCGGTCCGCCTTAACCTGACTCCGGTCCGCCTCAGCCCGACTCCGGTCCGCTTCAGCCCGACTCCAGTCTGCTTCAGCCCAACTCCGGTCCGATTCAGCCCGACTCCGGTCCGCCTTAACCCGACTCCCGTCCGCCTTAGCCCGACTCCGGTCCGCTTCAGCCCGACTCCGGTCCGCTTTTTAATAATCTGGACGAATAATAATAAAATGCTGAATAGATGACTGTTTTTCCACTGGATTTGGCTCTATTCAGTGTTTCAGATCCTCTGATCAGTTCAGCACCGTCGGCCTCCTGTTGTAAATATTTCTCAGATTGATAACTAAACATCACAGAACATTAAATAATGGTGGAAGTGAATCAATAAAATCCATAGAACAGAAACTACTTCTGTTTTGGTTTGACTGCCCAGTTCACACTACGCAATTTTAGAACTGTCGGCCGATTTTCAAAACCTGAGAGGCCACACACACACTGGCCGACCAAATCGTAGGTAACGCGTCGATCGGCCCGATCGTGCAGTGTGTGACGTTCAGCCACACGGCAAGAGCAACACACCTGCCACGAACTGATTTCTCACCGACGTTCAGATTCCAGACAGAAAATACAGTAAAAACTCAGGATATCACGAAAATTTAGAGTAAACAACCATGTCTGACAGCGTAGAAGCAGTAGTGACAGTTTGTAGCTTGTTTTAAACAGAAAAGATGTAACAAAAAGAAAAGGCGTTGGTTAAAAACGTGGACACCCGGCGGCTTTATTTGCTGCACAACGCTATGAAGGCAAGTTACGTTTTTTCGTCTTTACCATTTGTGTTTATTTTCTGTTCTGTGGTTTCTTTAAACTTCATCGGTTAATTAGTGTTTCCTGTTGAGAACAATGTGGGCACAAAATAATGGCTACAAGTTCAGTTAACCAATTTTAAAGCCAGGCATTAATCAATGTTTTACGAGTCAGCGTAAAGTCCTGACTGAATGAAAATCATTAGAACCTTTTTATGTCACGTTAAAGATGAACAGCTGAAAACCTACCGGGTTTATCAACTGCGTTAGAATTTTGCTCCAACTCCTCTCCTTGTCATTTATTTCTATATTCTTTGCACGAAATGTTGAATAAACATAAATGTTGTTTCCACATATCATCTCCAATGTCCGCTGGACTTCGGGTTGCGCCTTGTCAGCAGTTTGGGATTCCCTTCGTGTTTTCCCGTCAGAAAGCAGGAGGGGAATCCTCTCGCTCCCATTCGGGGGGAAACCACAGGCTGCGACAATCGGCTGAGACAACATGTTGAATAGTCCGATTTCAGATGGAACCGGTCCCGATGTTCTACCGACTGGACCCGATCAGTCATAACACGCTACAGGATGATCGGTTACGATTATCGCAAGCGACAATCTTAGAATGCAGAACGTTCTAAGATTGTCGTAAAGGCAAAATCAGGGCAGAAAATCGTTTAGTGTGAACTGGGCTTTATGCTGAGAAACTAATGCAGTTGGTTTCAATACAGCTTTGGGTGAAATGAACGTTTCCTTGTTGCTCCATGTGAGTCTGGCGTCTTCATAACCTGCAAAAACTCAAAAAGGCTGCAGGTTTTATTTCTGGGTTCAGGGATTTGCCTTTTATGACGTCACATTCCACATTGAAACATCTGAAACTCAAATTGTTTTGGGCTGTCCTTCTTAAAACCTATAATCCATATTTATTCGTACGTGCAGAACAGGTGCTGGCTCTGTCGTAGCTTTGCAGAAAGTTTCCTCTGACGCTTCGTAAATCTGACCAACTCTGACATCAAGCTTGGAGCTTTAAAGTCCATCAGGAGATAAAAAGTGAGGCATACCTCTATAAAACTGGCATTGTTGGTTTTAAATCACAGCCTGGTTCTGCTACCAGAACCAGAGAGCCGTTCTGATTGGTCCGTTTCATTTGAACGCCCCAGAGCTCAAATGACTGAACATATCAGGACTGTCTGCTGCTGCCGAGAGGCTTCTTGGGTTTTTTCTGGAAGCAACTTCATTCTGGCACTTGAAGAGGTAACGTGAGATGCAGAGAACAGATCAGATTCCTGGGTCAAAGGTCAAGGCTGCAGCTCTTGTCTGTTCTTTCATGAGGGTTCCTGTTCATTATTTTTCCCAGTTATGTTAACATCAGGATGGAAGACGGACGACTCCTCTGGGAGCAAGTTCTCTACAGATTCAGCATTTCTGCCACATGCATCATCCGACGGTTGGGTTGGTTCAGAAACTGGACATAAATATGTCTAATCTAAGCTTCTGGAAAGAAAATGTCTTTTCTCTAACATGCTTGGCATTTCAGAGAAAACCAGGAATCTCAGCGGAGTTTCCTCCAGTTAAAAAAGAGGTTTACGATTTAACGAGAACAAAACTTAAAATGGATCCTTTCTCACAACTTCACTCCAGGAAGGCAAAGGAAAAACGCCATAGATGATAAAAGAGACATGCGAGACCTCACTAGCCCTTACTCCAACCTTTCACACAATATTTAATGTATTCTGAGGTTTGACCTCGTTTAAGGACTCTTTTGATTGAAAATGTTGATTTTTGTGATGTCAAATGCAATAATAAGTTTATAAGAAGCTGTTTATCCAGTTATTGTGCCATGGATGTGCTTAAAAGAGAGTATATCCTTAGAGACTTTAACACAGAACAAACCAAAAAGATTAGATCAAAATATTTATGTTTTCCACTTCCTTCCAAAATAAAAGACATGCAATTTAAAATTTTAAACAAGTTATCAAAATAACAACTTCCTGAGACCCAGGTTTAAAATGGATGTGGATTCTGTGAAAAAGTTACTGAAGATTTGAATCACCTGTTTTTCATGTGAAGTGGTTCAGTCTTTTTGCCAACATCTGCATCAGTTTATTCTCAGCCATGGTATACATTTAGCAGATATAACCATACAAGATGTTAAATTTGGTGTTTTTATCAGTGATCACTTCATTGACTATGGAATAAATAATGTTTTATTGTTAGCTAAATTTCATATACACAAATGTTGCTTTTCTAAAACCATTCCTAACTTTAGACAGTGGATGAATGATTTAAACTTGTTTTATAAATCTTTATATCTAGTAAACTCAAAATATGCGTTTAAGTTGTCCAATTTTTTGAAAACTTTCTTACTTTAATATACTGCCCTGTTTTATGTTTTATTTTTCATTTTGTTATGTACCATTTATGTCTTTATTCATTTATTTATTTTCTCTTTCCCAGTTGTTCGGCTCTGTTGACTGTTGGTTCTGTGATCCTAATGTAGACGAACCTCTATGGAGCTGATTGTATATGTTTATATAATAACAATAAAAACAAACTCACTATGTAACGTCACGTGACGTTTACTTTTACAAAGTAAACTGTTAAGAGGTGTGCCGATTGATCGATCACCGATCATAATCGGCCAATTTCCGTGTAAAAGTGTATGATCAGTGATCGATCACCGTCTCTTGTTGCCGATCACTAAACCGATCACCTGTATCACTTCACAGCCTGCCTGCAGCTGCTCTCCTCTTTCCTTCTCACTGCGCAGCAACAAATCCTGTAGTGAGGAACTATAACGCTCAGAGAGTGAATGGGGACGTTTGCGAGTTGCGACAGAAAATTACCTCCAGGTGAAGCGCGTCACAATGCATCAATACAACGAATCTAATATGGCATTTAAAAACAAGAACTTGACAGAGTTTGGCTACATCGAGGCTCAATGCAGGAAAAAAGCGACCAGACAGCAGGTACAGCAGCTTAAGTCTTGGAGCTGCGGAGTGAGACTCTGGTTCTGGTTCTGCTCCCGCTGTCGACTGCCATTAATCAGAACCAGCGTTAATCAGCTAGCCAATCAGAACCGGCGCTAATCAGCTAGCCAATCAGAACCGGCGCTAATCAGCTAGCCAATCAGAACCGGCGTTAATCAGCTAGCCAATCAGAACCAGTGTTAATCAGATAGCCAATCAGAACCAGTGTTAATCAGATAGCCAATCAGAACCAGCGTTAATCAGATAGCCAATCAGAACCAGCGTTAATCTTGATTCAGTAATTCATGATTGTTTATTTTGATGCTTTTGGCTTTAATGAATATTTCCTTTTCTTCTTGACATTATTTGATATCTTGTGTTGTGAGATTTATTTGGCTCCTGTATAATTTATGGCTGAGAGCCTTACTGTTAAATATTATTGTACTGATTGCAGGTTTTTCAGTCCGTTTGACTGAACAGCTGCTGTTTTGTGCCTGCAAGTATTTTGCATGTTTTATGTCTAAATTAAGTGAATTTATTACCAGAACATTTTTCCATTTTGCCAGATCACATAGTAGCATTTATACCTAAAGCAAAACCTTAACAGGCGATGCAGGTGATGGGCAGTGATCGGCCTCATGGGTGATGGGAATCGGCAGAAAACACCTGAATGAATCGTCCCTAAAACCTGATGTTTTCATCGGCTGGAACTGTTTTTGGGTCGAGACGTTTGTGAGGCAAAACAACCAAACCATGAATTAATTGTTCTTTAAAATATTAATAATCAGAAAGGAATTGATTGAGCTCATTTTAAATCATCGTGCCATTAACTGGGTGTTTTCTTGTTGTGACAGTTTATCATGACAGTTATTAGTTTAACTCCAGGAAGTGTTTCTGGTTGAGTAATTTACCGTTTTTCCATAAACGTTTTTCACTTTGTGGTGTTTATAAATCGTAGCATTCGGTCTCCATCCCTGTTATTTCTCTCACTTTTTAAGTTTTTTATCCCAGATATATTCCTGCTCACCTGAACTTCTCCAGAAGCCGGAAGCAGCCGCCTGTTTCGTTTGTTTTGGATCTCCTGCTCTGATTGGAGTCCGATCTTTTGAAAACTAGAAATAATTTTCTAGTTTGTTTATAGGGACGTCTGGCAGCTGTTGGGCCGTTAACCCGCCTGACGCGTCGCTGTATGAAAACCAACATGGCTGCTTGACAGATGAAAGCTTTCATGGCGAAGCGGCTCTGGCCTCTGAAATACAGTAGCGTTCAGCCGTGGTGGTAATGGGTTCGCTCAGTGGAGGGTCTGGTTCACATTTATGTGTCCATCCAGAGGATCTGACCTTTTCCATCCCCTAAACCTCAGCAGCGCTGGTCCCGCCTCCGGGCCAAACCTCCCAGTATATCTTCATCGTGTGAAGCTCCAACGCAGGGAAAGGTAGTCCAACTGAACAGGAACGAAGCAGCGGGAACAAGAAGATCTGGATGAGGGGAAAACTTTGACAGACGGGGAAACAAGAAGAGAGGAAAAAATCTGAAACGAAGCGAAGAAAGACTCGAATCAGCCGAAGAGGAAACGGGAGAGAAAACAGGGAAGGAATCAGAAGAGCAGAGAGCGCCGCGTCCCGTCAGGATCCTCAGGTAGGAGAGCGACCCGCTTTCCAGGATGGAGCCGAGAGACCCAGGCTGGAGGACGGCCGAGCCCGCCCAGGTCCGGTTAGAACCGCCGAGGTCCGGTTTGACTAAAGCTGGTTCAGTTAATCTAAAACCGAAATGAAACGACAAGAAACGGATCCTGATTTTTGAGTCGGTCAACAGGGCGGTAGAATGAGAACACAGACCTGGTCCTGGTCATTAGAATCCGGATCGGAACCAACCGGATCAGGAACTGGGCTCCTGCTGATGGTGAAACCTGAATAGAAGCGAAACGAAGCGACAAAATGATCCGAATTAGTTTCCAGTTTGGCTCCAGTTAGCAGGAAGAAACAACCAGCAGCTTTTTGTTTAAATTCATAACAGAATAAAACTGAAAAGATCGTAACAATCTGACTAATAATCCCAACGTTATAATCTGATTACGACAGGAAAAACTCACTGATAATCCAACGAGCTGCAGGCTGTAAAACCTCTGAATATATAGATATAATTCAGAAAGGCTCCAGCGGGAACGTTTCATCTGTTAGTGTTTATTTACGGAATTAAAAATAATGTGACGGTCCGACTGAACCCGCTCCGGTCCGGTTCAACCCGCTCCTGCCGGTTCAACCTGCTCCTGCTCCGGTCCGGTTCAACCCGCTCCGGTCCGGTTCAACCCGCTCCGGTCCAGTTCAACCCGCTCCTGCTCCGGTCCGGTTCAACCCGCTCCGGTCCGGTTCAACCCGCTCCGGTCCGGTTCAAACTGTTCTGGTTTCAGGAAAAACTTTATCAATGAAAAATAACTTCCTGTTCGATAAAAGCAGCCAATTATTTCGGCTCGTTCTGATTCGGTTTTCTCATGCAGTTTCCCCAGTGACTCTAATTATAATAATTATTATTACTGCTATAATATGAATTTAGAAAAACATCTAAAGGTCATAAAATATGCTGATCAGAACAGAAATATGGAGTTATTTTGATGGAAGCCTAAATATCTTGGAAGCTTTATTTATTTGGTAATTAAGTTGATTTTTCATAGGATTAATATTGCTATTATTATATTTAAATCTTTTTCCTCAAATCTTAAATTTTCTGTTTCTTTCTTTGTTTTATATTTTAAAGAAAAATCTCCTTTAGCAACAAATCATTTCTCAGCAACTTAAATCCTGTGTTATAAATCAAAACACTATCAAACTATTTTTAAGTCAAATTAATCTTTATTTTGTAGAATAATTTTAAAATCATCATGAAACCGATTTTGACAGAATTTCTGGTAAACGTGAGTAAAACGGTTGCTGACCTTTAACCCACGAGTTTCATGTTTTTATGCTTTTATTTAATCTGATCAGTGTAGAAAACATTCAAAGCATCTTGAGGCTGAACGCTGCGGCCGCTCCCGTCCTGCTTTATTAAAACACATATTTCCTGTAACTTTAACGTGTTTTTATAAAAATAAAAAAAACAGGAAAAGCTGCGTTTTCCAGAGTTGGTAGAAGAGATGCATTAAAGCTGCAAATGGGAGAAACAAGTTTCTGCTTGTAGTTTCTCTTTAATATGATTATGAGAATAAAACCTTAAATAATGTTTTTGCACAGGTTTTGTCCTGCAGATATTTGCGCAGGGAAAACCAGGATTTACCGGATCGTAACCGGATCATTAAACAGTTTCTGGTTGGATGTGAAACGGATCATCAGAGACACAGAGAAAGATAAACCTGTTTCTCTTGTTTTTATGAAATCTTTATCTTTGTTTGGATTTAATTAATTTGGAAGATTTTCACGTTTCCTGGACTGAACCTTGTTAATTTAATAAAACATTTACCTCCAAACTGTAAAAAGTTCCAGTTTTTGTTTGCTTTATTTATTATAAAACATATTTAAAGTTTCCTGTTTTGTTCGTTTCTGAGGTAATAATGTTCGTGGGTCAGTTGGACCCGGGGAGCGTTTTATCATGCTATGGTGTCAAAAACCTAAAAATTCCTCCAAAACATTTTTGTATCTGATTATTAACTCCAATAATAACCATTTCAATCAATATTTGTGCAATTATGTTTTTTTATTTCTCAGAAATTAAGGATTAATGACGACAAGTTACTCAATTACTCATTTGGACATAAAAAATTGAATTTACATTTTTTATGTCCACTGAAACAAACCTAGACACAAAAAAACAATAATTTCCTTGAAATTGATCTTTGGTAAAAAATGTATATTACATTTAAAATATTTTTTCAAAGGGTGATCTTTATAATTGAACTTGAGACAAACATACTGTTCCGGGTCAAATTGACCCACCGATTAAAATCAAGATAAATGAGTGTTTATGTTTTCCTCCAGTTCCACTGAGTGTCACTCGGTGTGGGTGGAGTTTGACCACGGGAACACAAAAGGTTCCCGTCTAAAGTTGAAACATTTCATAGTGGAGTAAAGAGAGCAGGGAGAAAGTGGGCTTGTGTGTGTGTGTGTGTGTGTGTGTGTGTGGTGATATATGGTTCATATCTGCAAGGAAACACAGAATTGGACATTTTTAATCTTTTTTTGCACTTTAACTTGACTGCCGGGTCAAATTGACCCGAACAGTATCGATGTCACAAGCAGACGCAGGGGGGGTTGCAGATGTGTAAAATGAATACATTTTCAATTTATACATAGAGTTAAGACAAATAGAAAAAGTTTCATGCAAAAAAAACCCAACTATTTTTAAAAAATGTTTAAACTTTAAAACGGGTCAATTTGACCTGCTACATAACAGGAGAGTTAAAGTTTCCTGTTTACCGCTTTGACCCACATTTTCCTATTAATTGTAGCCAAATGAATATACATTTTTATTATTATTATAAACATCATGTGAAGATTTGGCACAGTAATATTTTTTTACCTTTTAATACTAGATAAACATGGAGCTACCCCTGAAAAATACAAAATCGTACCAAGAATCTTAGAGCGAATTTCGTTTCACTTAAAACTAATTTGTAAATAACTTTTCAGCAAAATATAGGATCTTTTTTTAAGTCAAAAATTCCTTAACATTGATCAAAAGTGTCAGATTATTTCAGTTATTGCAAACATTTTTCATGTGTCATAAATGAAATAATGTCAGTGGATGTGGACCTTTTTCATCCATATTCAGGGATTATTATTATTATCAGCCAACTGATGAGATGGAAGTTTTATCTTATAAAAAGTGAACTAAAATATTTGCTCTAAGAACATAAATAATTGGGAAGATTTAGTGTTTTTGCAGAACTGATGTTGAGATTTAGAAGAAATGTTTTCATATTTCAGCGTTTTAATTCTGGCTGTAAAAACTGATTAGCATAACATTTTATACATCAGCTGTTTCTGAGCTTTAAATCTTTTCTGAGTTTTATTTTTCAGTTTGGTTCACATGATCATTATTTTATTGAAGGTTTTTAAGTTTCGCTTACCGACGTCCTGTCAGGTTTTATTTGGTAAAACATAAATGATCAAGTGGAAACACAATCGTTCATGATTTTCTCTGTGTTTTTACAGAATGTGACTTTGACTAGGCCATTGTGAATGTGGATTTGTGTTGATTTGAACCATTATGTTCAGGCTGGAAGGTAATTAATAAATAAATCCCCACAGCATGACGCTGCCTCCACCATGTATTGTTTTGCATGAAGACCATTTTATTATTATTATGATTTATCTTCTACTGTACATAATTATTTTAGTATTTACTTAGAATGATCTGACTGAATTTGCTCTCGTTCCTCTGAACCCTGACCAAGCGAGCCGCCGCTGCAACATCTGCTCACACTTTACTGACTGCTCTGAGCTTTCTGTTGCTTCATTTGTTAAATCATGTTTGGGTGTGCGGGGAGCAGCCGGCCCGGCGTGCCGGGACCCCGGGGGTCGCCCATCGTTTTAAGTGGAACCAGAAATAAAACGATGCAGGCCTTCTCCATGTTTCCTCTCTGCAGCGAGTCCCAGAGGAACACTTAGCGTTCGGTTACCCAGGCAGCTTTCACACCATTTTACCTGGGTTCATTGCTACCGATAGGGCCAGGGGTCAGGGGTCAGGGGTTCGTTTGTGTTAGGGGTTGGTTCTATTCATAAAAAGCTGGAATACTTGCTGAAGTTTGTTCCAGTGTTTTGCTGCAGCAGAATGTTAAGAAAAATCCCCATATTTTGATTTAATTTCTAGAACGTTGAGCAGAATGTGTGCTAAAAGGACTCAGCTAGTAAGTAATTACAAATATAAACTTAGTAACACAAGCAGTGAATTTTATTATTACAGAACGCAGTTTTACCTGTGAGATTATTCTGATGATTACTCAGGTAAAAATCAACAACAGTACCATGAAACTGGGATGTAACGTAAAGCGCTGCGATGTGCGATATGGCATGAAATTCATATCACAATATAATTTGTGTAAAACTTACCAAGAAAAAGATCACATGCTAACTGAGTGTAATGTGAGTTAAAACTCGTCAACACTCCATGGTTTCTGTGGATCTTATTTATGTTTGTAAATGTTAAGTTTTACGTTGCTGCCTGTCATTGTCTTAAAAAATCTCTTTTTAAGGGAGACGTGGCGATAATCTCTGAGGCGACTTCCTGGTTAAATCAAAGTTAAATACATAAACGAAACGTATACATGTCAGCGATGAGTCCTTCTCTGCCAGTGTTGTGACAGGTTGTGTTCGGCTGCATTGCTGCTATCAAAGCTCATGCTGGTGATGGGAAAACAAATCATTTCCTGTCTTCCACTCAGTTTGCAGGTTACATTTTTCTGCTTCTGGTCTGATTGTTCAGCCGTCCCGCCGTCTGAAGAGACAGAGTCATTTAAACCCCACAAGTTTCTCAAGTGTGAGCGGTCCTGCAGAGTCGCGCTGTGTGTTTTACAAGGTTTTTTATGGTTTCGGAGAGACCGTCAGGTTTCACCCCGCCACACGCCGCTTCCCCTCTGTCTGACCGTGACATCTGCTGCACTCATCCTGAGCAGGAGATCAAATCCAAACCAGATCCAAATAACTTAT